TTAGAGCTTACCCACAATAGACTTGTATATATGTTAATGTAGTGTGGATGAAAAATAAATCTTTGAGCTGAAGGCCATTGAGATTTTGGAGTTGTTCATTAACACCGTAAACCTAGCCCATACTAATTAATACAATAGCTAATTACCCAGTATCATTTCATGAAAGCAAAAAATGTTTTGTTCTAATGAGTACTTTGAAAATATTTACATTGAATAGCACATGTGTAATCTGTTTTTTTCAAAGAGATCATGCAAAAGGCTGTGCTGTATTGCTTTGTGTCTATGTGTATGAGGTAATCATTTGCTAGCTACTACTGGTAACAAGGTCTGAAGACCCACAGCTGAGGGTTCCAACTACACCTCAAAAGTACACACTGAAGCAGGGCTTATCTCTTAAGCGTCAGTCAGAAAACACATGCTCATTTTTTTTGCCCTTTTTTAATCTACTAGAGGCCCAGTGCACGACTTTGTGCATGGGTGGGGTCCAGCCAGCCCGACCCCAATCAGGGCGGATCGGGGCTGGGCCTGTTGGGAGGAGGAGATGGCAGGAGGTTGGCCACAGCCCACCCAGATCAGGACCTGATCAAGGCCCCTGATCAGGGCCCCCAATGAGGGCCGGGATGGCTGAGGGAAGGGGCCTCGGGCAATTGGCCGGCGGGCCCTGCCCCTGATTAGGGTTGGGGTCTGATTGGGGGCGGGGCTGGCCATGGGGAGGGGGCCGATCTGGAGTGGGGCCAGGCAGGGCAAGGGGCTGCAGGAGATTGGCTGGCCAGCCCCGCCCCCTATTGGGGTGGGGAGGGTGATCAGGGGTAGGGCCGGCCAGGGCGAGGGGCTGTGGGCCAATCAGGATGGTGGGGACCCATCAGGGGTATGGCCAGCTGGGGGGAGGTGCTTTAGGAGGTTGGCTGGCCAGCCCCACCTCCTATTGGGGTGGGAGGTGTGATCAAGGGTGGGGCAGCAAGGGGGAGGGGCTGCAGGAGGTTGACCACCCATCCCCGCCCCCTATTGGGGTGGGGGGTGTGATCAGGGGTAGGCTGGCCAGGGGGAGGGGCTGCAGGCCTATTGTGGTGGGGCGGGCTGATCAGCGCAGCTGGCAGGGGGGAAGGGAGGGAAGTGTTTTGGCCAGCAGGCCCCACTCTTGATTGGGGTGGGAGAGTCCAATCAGGGGCAGGCTGGCAGGGGGGAGGGGCCACGAGGTTGGCTGCCAGCCCCCACCCCCCTGATCGGGCCAGGTTCGCTGGCCCACAGTGGGCATCATAGCGACCGGTTGTTAGGTTGTTATGGCCATTACAGTAGCTGTCTTTTTATATATATAGATGATAATAAAAGTGTAATATGCTAATTAGACCAGACAGCTGAACGACCTTCCAGACAACCTTTGGGACAAAGCCGGGGCCAAGGCAGCCACCGAGGCTTCAAGGGCTGAGCCCCTTGCACGAATTTCGTGCATCGGGCCTCTAGTATCATGTATTCCATTATCCACATACCTTGGAAACAATTGTGTCCCAACTACAAATACCCGGAGTCCGTAAGATTCTGTCAGCTAGAAACCCACAATCCCAGCTATCCCTCAGTCCCACGGGAACTTTAAAGCACCAGAAAGTTCAAGCTGTATTTCTGGCCCCCATCTGAGAACGTGGCCTTCAAAGACCCCTTGTTGGCAATCACACCCGCACAGGCAGGAGGGACATTGGTCTTGGCTGCTTGCTCCTATATTTGATTAGAAGAAAAATCCGATACAGACAACTCTCCTCCTGGAAAATGACCATTATACTATATCAAATTATAATAAAATTCATTTTTAAAACTCAACAGTAAGATCTAGATAGTGCCCTGTTTTTATTTTAGTCATTTTTTAAACCACATTAATAAAAATAAGAAAACTATGTACCGATGACTATATAACAACATAGTTGAAATTCTTCCATTGAGGATAATTTATTTTTTCTTTCAGTGAACTAAATGCTAATTCCCAAGGGGATCATTTGGAAATTTAAAACAGGAGGTGACAGACTGTCCCCATTGGCTCAGAGAGGTAATTTGACTAATAAGATCGCGTTAATGAGTTGGAATCTCACCTACATATAATAGCTCAGCTCTGTCAGAGATGGATAGAATTTATTTTTTTTAATTCAAAAGGTCAAGCTAAGGTTTTTTAATTTCTGTAAAACAATATTTCTCAAACTATACTTTCTGGAACAGTACTGTCTTCCAAGTTAATAATAAGAATTATGCGAGCCCTAACCGGTTTGGCTCAGTGGATAGGGCGTCGGCCTGCAGACTGAAAGGTCCCAGGTTCGATTCCAGTCAAGGGCATGTATCTTGGTTGCAGGCACATCCCCAGTAGGGGGTGTGTAGGAGGCAGCTGATCAATGTTTCTCTCTCATCGGTGTTTCTAACTCTATCTCTCTCCCTTCCTCTCTGTTAAAAAATCAATAAAATATATATTTTTAAAAGAATTATGCGAGAGAAGAATGTTAATAATAAATCTGTGCCACAGTGAATACTAAATCATCTTTTTTCCCCCCAGTTGACATTAGCACATTAAAGACCCTGAAAAGTCTAGCAGTAAAGGAATCTGCTTAACATTGTTTAGTCAAGTGACTCACAAAATCAAAGCAGAATCTTACAACATCCCTGGGAACTAATAATTCTCTGGATGCGCTAAAAGGTCAAATCTGCAAAAACACCACAGGATGGTCAGCAGGTTAGAGCCAAATTCGTAAAACTGTCTCAGGTCCCCAATCAAAAAAAAGGCAAAAAATATGAACAGACACCTCACGGAACAAGATATGTAAATGGCAAATAAACATGTGTAAAGATGCTCAAGATTAGTTGTCTTACAGAAATTGCAAATTAAAACAACAATGAGATACTACTATTCAGCTGTTATAATGGCTAAAATCCAAAATCTAACCATCCCAATTGCTGTTGAGAATGTGGAACAGCAAGAACTCTCATTCGTTGCTGGTGAAAATGCAAAACGGTATAACCATTTGAAAGAGTTTGGCAGTTTTTTGCACTCCTAGGTACATAGTAAAAAAAAATTGAAAACTCACATCAATACAAAAACCTGCATGTGAATGTTTATAGCAGCTTTAAAATAAAAATAAAAAACAACCCACTGTCCTGGCTGGTGTTGCTTAGTCATTAGAGCATTAGCCAAGGCAACAAAGGGTCGCAGGTTCGATTCTGGTCAAGGGCATGTACCTCACCTCAGTTACAGGTTCACTCCACACCCCTAGTCAGGGCGCATGCAGGAGACAAACAGTCAATGTGTCTCTCCTTCTTCTTTCCCCTCTCTCTCTCTCCCCCTCCCTCCCTTCCATTCTCTCTGAAAATCAATAGAAAAAAAATATTCTCAGGTGAGGATTAAACAAACAAAGCAATCAACTTATCCTTTAAAAGATGAATAAACAAATTTTGGTGTAATTATTCAGGGACAAAATGTGCAATATTATCAGATAAAAAGGAATAAGCCATCAAGCCATAAAAAAAACCACCTGTAAATATATCTTAACTGCATCTTGCCAAGTGATAAAAGCCAGTCTGAACAAGCTAAAATACAACACGGTTCCAATTATGATATTCTGAAAAAAAGAATTCTAAAAAGACCAGTTGTTAGCAGAGTTTTGAGGGAGTGTTAATAGAAGATACATAGGGGAGATTTGGGACAGTGAAACTATTTTATATGAAACTGCAATGGTGGATGCATAACACACTTGTCAAAACCCATGAGGCTTTACAGCACAAAGAGTAAACCTCAACACATGCAAGTATTTTTTAAAAATCACTTAGGAGGTGTTGGGGATCCCAACATGGAGTGCAGAACCTGATTGTATCATTAAGGTATTAAACAATTTCACTGAAAGTAGTGGGGGGAAGCTGTTGGTGAAGTAGTTTTAGAAATGAGTGAAAACAAGAAGATTAAAGGCAAAAGAAACAACATATGAAGACTGTAATCTGGTTAATGAAGTTGTTTCCTATAGGATTGCCTCTAAACAATTCTGATTCTGCTATATGTGGATACTAGAACTGAGCCATATGTCCTTGCTCTGTTAGCTGAAAGTACATGAAACAACACCACCCTAGTATCAACTAGCACATCTAACACCCAGATCTTGCTTTATAATACCATCCTATCTAATAAAGAGACAATATGCTAATTGACCCTCATGTCATCGCAAAGATGGCGGCACCCACAGCCAATAAGGAGAGGATATGCTAATTGGCTGCCCCACCCTCAAAGATGGCAGCACCACAGCCACAAGATGGTGGATCCCAGTCCCCTCATCAGTCCCGAAGATGGTGGTACCCACAGCCAATAAGGAGAGGATATGCTAATTGACTGCCACGCCCTCACTTGCCTCCAGAGTCCCCCAGTTCCCTCAGCCCCCCAGCTGCCCAGGGCCAGCCCAAGGCACAGTCAAGGCACAGGGCCACCTGAGGCTCACGTAACCAGGGCCAGCCGAGGCTTGCACTGCCAGCAGTGGCAGCAGCAGAGGTGTGATGGGGCGTCGCCTTCCCCTGATCGCCGGGTCGCCTCTCACCCCTGAGGGCTACCTGACTGTGAGAGAGGGCAGGCCGGGCTGAGGGACCCCCTCCTCCAGTGCATGAATTTTCATGCACCTGGCCTCTAGTCTATATATATAAAAGACTAATATGCTGTGTCCCTCCCTCCATCTGACCAGTCACTATCACGCGCACTGACCACCAGGGGACAGACACTCAACACAGGAGCTGCTGAGCTGCAGTAACTTGCAGCAGCAGTGATGCACCCTGAAACCAGAGAAGTGGGAGCCTGATTCTTCGCGGGGCCGCGTGATTCCACCTTCGGCCGTGGATTATGTTGTTGCTGGGGCACTGTCAGCCCCAAATCTGGTTTACTGCACACTTGTGTTTGCGTTCCACACCCTGTATGACAGCAACTCTGCAGAGTGCCCTCTCGAACTCTGGGACCCCTCGGGGGATGCCGGAAATATTTAGCAAGAAAATAAAGTGTGCTCACCTTGGCAGCACATATACTAAAATTAGAGTGATACAGAGAAGATTAGCATGGCCCCTGAGCAAGGATGACACACAAATCCTGAAGTGTTTCCTACTTTGTGCAGTGCCCTGGTGGGCGTCCTCACACCCTTTGATTAGCTCGGAGGAAATGGCAAAAAAAAACACAATGCATGGCACGCAATAGCAAAATTATGACTTTTCACTATAAAATTTAAAAAATTAAAGAAAAGAAAGCAGTATTGGATAATAACGCAAAGCATAAAATACATATCCAGAGTTCATAAATACATACATACATATCTCCCATACAGACATTCCCAAATAATTCATATGCCCCACTCCATAAGTTTGGGTTGTACATAGAGATTTTCTTCCAAACAGTACAGGGAAGGGGAGAGAAAAGAGTCACTTGACAAGAGCACAAACATGACCTATCCAGGCGATCAAGGTTAACACCAACATTGATAAGCAAGGTGTATATGATGGGATCAAATGGCATTTTACTTCCATGGTCTTTTTTTCTGAAAACCCATAATCCCAGAAAAACATCACACAAGTCCTAATTAAGAAATATTCTACAAAATGCCTGATCATTACTGAGAAACTGTCACAGAGGAGCCTAAGGAGACATGCCAACTAAATACAATGTGGCATCCTGGCTGAGACCCTGAAACAGAAAGGACATTAGGTAAAAGCTAAGGAAACCTGAATCAAGTATATTAGTTAGTTAATAACAATATATTAATATTGGTTCATTAATTACAACAAATATACCATACTAATGCAAGATAACAACAGGAAAACTGGATAGAGGGCATATGAAAATCTCTATAGTTTCCTTGCAACTTTTCTGTAAATCTACAACTTTTTAAAAATTGTATTTTTACAAAGAAAGAAGAAAAAACCTGGAAAGATAAGCCCCAGAATGTTTATCAGTGATTGTATTTTAGTGACAGATTTCAAGTGGCTTTTCTTTTTGCTTATCAACATTTTAAAAGCAGTACTATTGGATTTTGATTTTTAGCTCTTGAAGGCTTGACCATTAGCCGAATAGTCTTAGCGTTTGGTCTTTTGCATCTTCAGCTGGTAAGAGTTTTGGCTCTTGTTAAGCAAGTGACATTTATTACTACCCCCACGAAAGGATCCCACTGCATTGAGGATCCCACCACCAGGAGCCGCAATCCCGGATGTCAATCCACTGCCTGGTTTGCATGTGTCAGAGTTGCCAAGAAAGACACAACTCCCACAGAAACTGGGTGTAACACTTTACTCACACAAGAAGAAACGGTAAGATCAGCCTTCATAGTGAGCTTTGATCCCACAGGGCCAGTGTACCTTGCCCCACAGCTGACACAGGACTGCATATACCCCTCTTGTGCTACGGTTGAAGAACCCCCTTTTCTCCCTGCTAGGAACCGATATAGCAGTGGGGTACCATATGCACACACTTCAAGCAGAACAAAGAAGTACACATCAAACCCAGAACAGGGAAGAGATTCCCAGACAAGGCGATATGCCCAGCACGGGCTGTGAGGGGCTTATTATCTCCACGTAAGGAAATGGTCCCGGCCCAAAGCACACTCTTACGCAGCCCTGCAAGGGCCAGCAGGCTGTGCATGCCTGCCTTTCCCCAAGCCCCTCATTCACAGGAAAACACACCAGACAGGGTAACCTCCTTTTGAAACAGGAGGTAAAGGAAATATATTGTCTCATAGTGAGTGACAGAGGTAAGTCATTTTAAATATCAGGAGATTACAGTGAGCCACTATTATTAGCAAAACAATTACTTTAGCAAATTAAATCTTAGGAATTATGCCAGAAAGATGGCTGCAAAATGCCTAGAAGTAGAATCTCCAGCTCTCAGAAATACAGTCCTCTGCATACATTAGAAAAGTCATAGGGAGTCCAACAGAGCAGAATTTCTTTCACCAACAAAGGCAGTTTCTCAGAGGGGATATGAGAAGACATCAGGCTGATACAGGAATCCCTCTAAAATGTGTCCTTCACATCTGCCTGAAGTGCCAAACACCAATGACAGCACTTTAGTTGCCATCAAGATGGCTGGTTTCATTTTCAGTTAGATTCCAAATCAAGTTACATAAATCAAGACTAAAATACTTAATGATGATGTGTTTGTAAACAGTGAATAATAATTGTGAATTGAGGAGACTGATATTATTTACATAACGATTACTGTCTGTTGGCTGTCTAGAAAGGCTGTATGGGGATAGAAGTTAAGAGCATAAGTTTATATTCTACCTTGGGCAGTTATTTAAGTTCTCAGTGCCTCAGTTTCTTCATTTGTAAAATGGAGACATTGGTAGTCCCTACCTTGCAGTTGTTGTAAGGGTTAAATTCAATTAATCATGTGTTTTGACATGTAGCAAGTTCTATATAAATGTTACCTGTTGTTTTAAGTAAGGGCACTTAGTGGCTTTTACTCTTTCATATTCCACTTGGATCATCTTGCCTCCTCCCGTCCACTCCTGCCAGCCTCTCACTGACTTCTCCGTAGCATAACCATTTTCTGAGTTACCCTGAAACAAAGCATATTAATTCTTTTCTTTTTCATTCCTCTTACTATTGAGTTGCTACATGATTTAAGTCTACCTTTGGTTATGATTCTTGCATTCCCCCTCCCCATTGGTATCACTGACACTGAACTTAATCAATAGTCTATTATTAACTTTCTATTCTACTTCCTTCATCCACCCCAAGTCACTCACAGACAGATACCAGGCTAAGCTATCTTTTTATCTTAGTAACAACTTTGTTGAGATACAATTCACACTCCATAAAACTCAAAGTTTTAAAGTGTGCCATTCAAAGGTCTTTAGCATATTCACAGACCTGGGCAACTTTCACCATTATCTAATTACAAACATTTTCATCATCCCTAAAAAAAACTTCACACCCATTAGCAGTTACTCCTGGCTTCCCCCACCCTAGTCACAGAAACCCCTAATCTAATTTCTGTCACTATGGACTTGCCTAATCTCTCATTCTTGCCAATACATTATTACCTATCTTTTTATTATAATCATCCTAGCAGGTATAAAGCATTATCTCATGGTTTTGCTTTGTATTTCCCTAATGATTAATTTCATGTACTTTATTGAACATTTGTACATATTCTTTGCAGAAATGTCTACTTAAATTCTTCCCACATTTTTAATTGGGTTTCTTTCCTTTTTATTGTTGAGCTGTGAGGGATATATGTTCTGGATATAAGTCCCTTATCAGATATGTGCTTTGCAAATATTTTCTCCTATTCTCTGGGTTGTGTTTTCAATTTCTTGATGTTGTCTATTGAATTCATAAAGGTTTTTCATGTTGATTCATTCCAATTTTTCTGATTTTCCTTGTGTTGCATGTGCTTTTGGTGTCATGTCTAAGAAATCATTGACTATCCAATCATTGACACACCCATTAGCTCTGTGCTTTCTTCCAAGATTTTTATAGCTTTCATCTTACATTCGGTTCCATGGTCCATCCATTTTGAGTTAATTTTTGTGTATGATATGAAGTAAGGGTTTAGTTTCATTCTTTTGCATGTGGATATTCAGTTGTCCCAGCACCATTTGTTGAAAATACTATTCTTTTCACATTGAATTGTCTTGATACCTTGTTGAAAATCAGTTGACCATAAAGGTAAGGTTTTATTTCTGGACTTTCAATTGTACTTTGTTGATCTATATGTCCATCTTTATGCCAGTACTACACTGTCTTGATTACTGCCGCTAAGTGGTAAGTTTTAAATCAGAAAATGTATCCTCCAATTTTGTTATTTTTCAAGATTATTTTGGTTATTCTGGGTCCTTTGTATTTTCATATAAATTTTTAGAATCAGTTTGTCAATTTGTGGGGTGGGGTGGGGAAACCTGACTGGGATTTTGAGTGATTCCATTGGAATATGTGGGTTAATTTCAGGAATATTACAATCTTCATATTATGTCTTCCAACCCATGAATATGGAATGTCTTGCCTATTATTTAGGTCTTCTTTAACTTCTTCCAATAGTGTTTTCTAGTTTTCAGAGTAAAAATTTTACACTTCTTTTTAAAATTTTATTCCTAGATATTTTATTCTTTTTGATGCTATTGTAAATGGAATTGTTTCCTCATTTCATTTTTTAATTTTTCAATACTAGAGTACAGAAATAAAATTACATTTTGTATATTAATCATGTATCCTACAACCTTGCTGAATTCATTTATCTAACAATTTTAGTTAATTCCTTAGAATTTTACACATACAAAATCATGTTATCTGAAAATTGAGATAGCTTTACTTTTTCCTTTCCAATCTGGATGCCTTTTATTTCTTCTTCTTGCCTGCTCTAGACCTCCAGTACAATGCTGAATAGAGTGGTGAGCACAGACATCCTTATTTTGTTCTTTGTTTTAGGGGGAAAGCCACCAGACTTTCACCATTTATGATGTTTGCTGTGGGCTTTTCATAGATGGGCTTTATCAGGTTGAGGAAGTTCCCCTCTATTTCTAGTTTGTTGAGTGCTCTCTTTTAAATCATGATACGGTGTCCGATTTTGTGAACCGCTCTTTCTGCACAGGTCAAACTTGATAAAGAGCAATTCTGATTGTATGGCTTCAGTGCTCCACGCCCTCCAATGGCTCCACACTGCCTACCAATTTAGCAGATTCTTCAACTCTGAGATGCGGTAACAGAATGAGATCCTTGGGAATCTTGAAACCAAATGGACATATTTTGCATTTGGGAGAAATGTGAATTTTGGGGGGAGCTGAGACAGTGGGCTATGGAAGGCTCTAACCTCCTGAAACTATAAGCGTGATGAGGTATCATTCCCCTGATTATGTTATGTTGTATGGCATAGCTGACTTTAAGATAGGAAGACAATCCAGGTGGGCCGGAAGTAATCATGTAAGCCTTTAAGATCAGAGCTTCCTCCAAGCGATAGCACAAGAGAAAGTGAGAGAAACTTTAAGAAGAACTTGATGTGCAGTTTCTGGTTTAAAGATGGAGAAAGCTGATGAGAAAGGAACGCAGCAGCCTTTAGGAGCAACCCCTTGCTGATAGCCAAGTAACTAGAGTCTGTCAACAATATGAATGAGTTTGGAAGC